CAGCCGCTGGATAGTCAGATCCCTCGTCCAGTGACAACTGCTTCAGAACGCGCATCGTTAGATAAGGTGCGGGAGCGAGTCCGTACGTCACTGTCAGGAGTCGGAAATGTGCGACCGGCTTGTCGCTGGACGGGCGCCAAAGAATACGTTGAAAATCGGCATCGAGCGGATTGACGAGAATTTGTCGGAACATCTTAGCGATGTCCGCCGTATAGACGAAGCGCTACTGCCGCCAGCGGAGCAGGATAGCGGAAAGGTCCTGCTGTAACTTCGGCCCGACCAGTAGGTGATCGTTCAATGACGTGCCGTTTGTCGTCTTGCACGAAGCGTTAAACACGACGCGTAATTTTGTGGTGCTGCTACACTCGCGCACAACCGGATGATGCGGAATATACGCGGGGTGAAGAGCGATGTCGCTAGGACGGTCGATCACGCTCATGTGCCCCAAGGAGAGATATTTCGCCAAAAATTCCTGGTACTGCGCGGAGAGTTCCGTGTGCCGGCGCAGCCTCTTTTCCATCTTATCGTAGAGTGTTATAGCAATAGGCAGCGAATCGCCTATGTCGATCGGGGTTTCATGCCGGAAGGGTAGTCGAACGATATATCGTCCTTCCGGAGAACGATCATGAGTGGCGAGGAAGTGTCGCTCGCAACGCTCTTTCTCGTCGGTAAGTGGAGGGGGGAGCATGACCTCCTCGTCCTCCCAAAATCGCTTGAGAAGCGTATTTGTGTCTTGAGTGGACACGTTATGACATACTCCTATGTGTGCGGACTCACCCCGGCCGCGACCCGCAGGGCCGGAAAGAATCCAACCTAACGCTGTCATCTGAGCGGTAGGCGTGCCGATAGGGCCTTGCCGGAGGCCATTCTTCAACAACGAACCGTATAAGTCGGCATCGATCAACAAGTGAACTCGGTGTCGGCTTGACGGATCTGGATCAGCGAATGAAAGGCCGTGTAAATGTGGCCATGACTCGAAGGGCTGAATCTGCGACGCCGCGTACGAAGTGATGCTTTGAAAAACGTAGGCGTGCAGCGGGAAGCCTGGTCCCGAACGGGCGCACGGCGTCAATGTCAGCATGACGCGAGATTTCGCGCAGCCAGTATACTTCTCACCGAAACAAGTAACTTGAAGATTCGAGCGTTGTCTTTTCGTACGCAACGTTTGACAGAGAGCTTGCAAAATAAAACTAAACGTGGATCCCTGATCCAACAGAGCGCGCACTTTAAAACTTCGACTTTCAACTGTGTGAACGTCCACCCAGGCCGTCGCTAGGAGGACGTTCGTGTGAACCGTATCCGCGGGGGGAACGGTCTGTACTTTCGCGACGTGATTGCTGCTCGCAGCGACAGCGCGTTTAACGCCGCGGGAGTGAACGGTTGCGCTTCCGCTCTTATCCTCGACGAGTTTTCCGCGACATCGGTTTTCGTATCGTTCGCGAAATGTAGCAGCGTATGATGCGAACGACGACAGTGCTAGCATCGAGATTTGCTCGTGCATTGTTGAAGGAAGTGCCCGGATCTCAGGCAGTTCAAACAAAGTTTGTTCTGACGCGCATAATCGCCTCGCTGCGCGACCGTCTTACTTAGAAACTTGTCACATTTTAAAACGGAATGATTGCCGGAGCAGAAAACGCATTTGAATGCGGTGACATTATTAACGGACGGGCGCGTCCTATAGTCTCTGAAGCGACGAGTTTCCTTTTGGGAATCGGCAAGATCGGATAAGCCGCGAATACGCGTCGTCAAGAATTCGTTGATGTTTTTGTAAGACGGAAGCTCGGCGAATTCCGTGCGTTTTAAGTTCCACTCGTTTCGCGTGCGAGGACTGAATTTCTGGGAAATAATGTAAACAAGCAGGTCGTCCCACGTATCGACGGGACGTTCGAGATTCTTCAACGCGGCCAACGATGAAGCCACGGCGTCACGCAGTTTTCGCAAATCGTTCACATTTTAGGGTGTTGGCCGTCGAGGAAGTGGGTGTCTAGGTGTTCGCAGTCAAGGAAGTGGGTGTCTAGGTGTTCGCCGTCGAGGAAGTGGGTGTCTAGGTGTTCGCCGTCGA